CCATATTCATATTTTAGCATGGTATCAGAGCAATCGATCCTCGGTTGTCTCTAAATTCTCATATCAAAATTTCTCCTCCCCTCCTCTTCAAGGGAGGGAGGGGGAGTGAAAAAAGATATGTTTCTCTTTCTCATGAAGATTTTGCCTCTTTCTTGACTCCGACAAACCCTTTTCTTCAGGGGAAGAAGAGAATTGAAGAGAAGTTTCTTTGTTCTTAAGCCGTGTTCACAGGGTTTCTGTGTCCTTTAGCCGTGTTCACAGGGTTTCTGTGTTCTTAGCCGTGTTCACAGGGTTTCTATGTTCTTTAGCCGTGTTCACAGGGTTTCTGTGTTCTTTAGCCGTGTTCACAGGGTTTCTGTGTCCTTTAACCGAATTCACAGGGTTTATGTGTTCTTTACATTCCTCATATCGTATTCCTCGTATCGTATCAAATTTTCTTGAACCACAAACTCAAAATCACATTCCTCATATCGTATTCCTCGTATCGTATCGAATTTTCTTGAACCACAAACCCAAAATCACATCCCTCATATCTTATTCCTCGTATTTCCAGTTTTAGATTCAGATCTTCATACCCGAATCCTCATATACTCTTATCCCGAAACCCTAAATACATCTTTTTATCTTATTCTTAAATCCTTCCGCTACCATGGATATCGTTTCCAAAACCACCAAATCCACTTTCTCATATTCAAATCCAATTCCTACATCAAATTCATACATCAAAATTCCTCAAATCAAAATCCCTCACATTCTCATATCACATCTTACTTCCGCAGCGATATTAGGAATTCCTACGATTCTCCCTCTTATTGCAGACTCAAAACGACCGGTCGCCTGAAGCAAACGACCGGTCGCCCTAAGCAAACGACCGGTCGCCCGAGGCAAATGACCGGTCGCCAAAGACTCTGCCTGAATTGCATTGATTATCGACTTAGGTGCTACGAATTTCATGACTCACTTACCAAGTTGGGCATTTGTGACGTATATGCACCAACTTGAGGAGGAGTGTTGAAGTGAGTCTCCTAATTAATCAAGGAGATTTATTTCCTTGATTAATTAAGGGATTTACTTTCCTATTTTATATAGTTGTCAAATCATTGTATAATTAGGAGATATTTTCCTAATCCTTTACTAGATCTAATTCCTTGTAAAGCACTCATGTGAACTCTTATATATACCTCCTTATTAAGAAGAATAAAAAAGAACCTAACATATTCAAAATCATATTCATATTTTAGCAGTATTCTCCAGAAAATCTCCAAATCTGTTCAGAGATTCTCGTGCATGGTTGTACTATACCTCCGCAGCAACAAATTTCTCTTTCATGTCCAAGTAATTTCTCATTAACAAGTTTTCAGCCATGGAACGAAATGGGTGTGTTGCAGAGAAGAGAAGTGGTTTGCAGAGAAGAAAAACTGACAAGATGAAATGGGTTTTGTGTTTCAGAGAAGAGAATGAGAAAATGGGTACGAAATGGGTCGTGAACTTGGAGGGAAAGACAACCGCCCTTGAATCTTGATTCTAGTTGACAAAAAAGAAAACAACCGTTCTTGATTTGATCGGGCTTTGTGTGCCGTTAGATTTGGCCTCAATCCATTCCAAAATAAGCCTGAAACCCCATTGGCTGAGGCGGTTTCACCCGGATTGCCAGCGTGGCATTAACCCCTGTGAGAGTAAACTATTTTGGGCTTTCGTGGCCAAATTTTCTACGGGGTCGGATCGAAATTTGGGCTGCCACAATATTTTGGAATTTTTATCCATTCACGAAAATTGCTTATTTTCTCACCATCTTTTATAAAATAAAAAATAAAAAATTCTAGTTGGTATTTTTGGTTCCCTCTCGTAATACTTGAAAAGAAAAACTTATAAGATATGTAGTTGTTGGTTTGTGGTTTATGTCTATTCAAATATGTGGTTGTTGGTATTTTTGGTTAACTTAACTCTCGTAATCTGTTCTCCTAGCGCTTCTTTTATGCGTCTTACTTTAAGTAGTATGCACATTTTGAAAAACTTGATGGAACCGAACCCGTTGAGCCAAAGTGACTATAATTTTATCAGCAACTCGTACAGTTTTCAGCTCAGATTCCATTCCGACTCAATTGAGGTCTACAATTTCCTTCCTATGATTCACACACTACCATCAGTCAATTTTTAAATACTATTATTTTCATTAAAAAAATATGTCAATAAACCTTGATGAAAAGAAAACAATTTGTTTTCACCATGGGCAATATGACTTCTTTTTTTTTATGAGAAAAGGGGGTTAAAGAACCCCAAAGGAAAAAACACACAGATTACACAACATTTATCAAACGGGTCTTAGCAACCCCCAACGAATCATCAATCAACAGGTTGCCAATCCAAACAGGGCTATCATCAAGGTACCAATACCCCATGTCAAGGTTGTGACTCCAAGTAGCTAAACCATCTGCAACAGAATTCCTCTCTCTATAAATATGTTGAATGTCAACCCTTCTAAACTGGTTCATGATCCTCTTGCAATTACTAACCAGGCCAGCAGTAGGATGAAAATTATCCACCTCAGCATTCTGTATGAGTTTCACAGCAATAGCTGAGTCCATTTCAATAACAACATCATCAACATGTTTTTCCATAGCAAGCTTTAGGCCAAAAAACAAGCCCCATAACTCAGCTTCAAGAATTTTTCCTTTCCCCAAATTGACAGCAAACCCACCAAGCCATTGTCCTAGGTGGTCTCTGAGAACTCCTCCAGCACCAATAGCTCCAGTACTTTCTTTGCGGGATCCGTCCACATTTAGTTTAACCACCCCCAAAACAGGGGGAATCCAAGCCAGCATGACATGCACCCTATCAATATTATTCTAGATGGCAGCAGTAGCTTTAATCCATTCCTTAGCATCAGACAAAATTATTTCTCGCATATTATAAGGTAGCGGTGCTTCATTTTTAAAGATAAACTCATTCCTCCATTTCCATATGTGCCAGCAGATGAACACAAATAAAATTTTCCAAGGGATCTGAGAGGATTGTACCTTAGAGCACAGGTTGTTTAAAAGCCAAGGGTGTATACAATTTCCTTCCTATGATTCACACACTACCATCAGTCAATTTTTAAATACTATTATTTTCATTAAAAAAATATGTCAATAAACCTTGATGAAAAGAAAACAATTTGTTTTCACCATGGGCAATATGACTTTAACTATCTACACTCACATAAGGAAACACAGGATGAATGCCAACGTCGCCAATGCCCGCTTGTCATATAATTAATTTCGTAGAAGAAGCTGAGCTTGGACTAAGTTTAAAGATTATATAAACAAGTAAAGATAAAGCATGTATCTTTTCGAGTTTGTTTGCTCATACCACAGCACTTACTACTACAGACATACAAATTCAATAGTTGAAGCCACTTTTCCCTTCAGCTGTTGCATAGCATGATCTCTTGCTTCCACTTCCTCTTTGACTTGTTTGACTCCCCTATCCTTTTCACTAGGATATAATTCACTAGGATACTCCCAACGCCGAACAGGATCAATAACTAATTTCTCTAGTGCAATGGCATTTTTTATAAGGTACATGACATGTTCAGCAACACATATTTCAGCACGATACCCTACTATTTCTGCTACCTTGAGGTTAGGATGGGGACATTTGCCAACTCTCTCTTTTTTCCCTGCTCCTTTTAAGGATGAGAAACCCAACTGCAAAGGACCACAAGGACCATTAAGTATATTAATCAGCATATTGTTATAAACCTGCTCTGTTTACCCTTTCCTTACTTCAATATTGGTAATGGAATCAATAGAAGATGAACAAAATAATGGAAACTTCAAATTTAAATAACAAGTTTTATCATGTAATCTACCAAGAATGAATATATATTACCTTCAGCACAAGTCTCCGCAAGCAAGGAGATGCCTTCATGAAAGAATTTAAATGACAAAGAGCCCCGCGATTATTTGCTGTAACTATTAGTTCCAAATGCTTGAGATTTGCTAATACAGGAAATACATGATTCTCATTGTACATCTGAAAGCCAAACAAGGAGTAAGGAACTACATAATCCAAAATGAAGAAAAGATGCCAACACATCATAATCACATTTACTAACCGCTCCTTCGATATCCAGCATGAGAACCGCTAGCTGAGAAAGACAACTTGAGAGTTGGGAGAAGGGAAGCTCTATGGATTTAAAGTAATAATGACCCTCTCTATAGAAGGAAGCAACAAGATCCTCAGAAATGGATACCTCAACCAGCAAAGGTACGTTACTGAGAAGCAAGTTTATCGCACCTCCTTGGTAAATAAATGAAACAAGGTTTGTTGCATCAAGAATTTCAATACTTTCTAGGACCGCACACCATTGTATATCTAAATATTTCAATGCAATCAACGGACCAACAACTCTTAACTTTACCAAATTCATAGCAGAATTCACTGTTAATCTTTCAAGAACCTGACAGTTAGACAATAAGTACTCGAGAACTTCACCAGTCACATCAACATACTGGAAATGAAGAACTTTGAGGAACTTAAATCCAACATTGTATCCACACGAGTGTAGACTTGGAATGTCAGAATGCTTGTGCTTAAGCTTCAAGGTAGAATCGTTTTTGATACCTAATAGTTTGTGGGGAAATTGATAGAGTTCTGTATAAGGAGTAACAAAATCAAAACGAAACACCAGCTCAAGTATTTGAACTCTCTTACTCATTGCATAATGAATCCATTTATCAATGGAACTTGTAAAACGAGAATTTATAGAAGAGCAAACCCTAAATCGTTCAATGGCTGGGCCTCTATGTTGTTCCACCACAGTGTTTACCCAATCGACGTATCTACGTGTTTCCAGGTCTTTCAGTTCTGGTTTCATTTGAAAGAAGCGCCATAAATTTCCATGGACTTCAAATTTAGCATCAAAATTGAGAGTTGTAGTAGACGTCCACACATACTGCCATCGCTTAGAAAGGACACTGGTAGCTGCTGCTTCCTTTAGTGGCAAAAGAGACACTATACTAAAAAGAATTTCATCTGGCAACTCACTAATTCTGTCCACCAAGATGCACTCACCCTTATTTTTCCCTTTCTTTCCCAAGCTTTTCTTTTTTCTTTTTGGCATGCACCTCCTTCGTCTATAATGGTTCCTAGCAGATGATGCTTCCTTTAGCAGCAAGAATGACTACAATTTCATGATTCCACTAAGTTATTAAATTTATTGAACAAAAAGCATTAGCAAATATTATAACGACAACAGTAAGGAAACCAAACAAAAACGCACTTTTACAACACGGACAGCAAAAGGGGTGCAAATTTGTACAAAGTTAGATATGTGGAACATGTATATAAAAATAAACATAAAAAAGATGCAATTTTTAAAAGTTTGGTATCGTGAAATTTAAATTTAAAAAGAAAGGTGCAATTTTGATGCAAGTTTAATAGCTGGGGAAAAAGAAAGATGCAAAATTTTCATACCAATTAGATATTTAGGATAGAAAAAGAAAAACGCAAACTTTGGAGTTTTATCTGCAAAAATCAGTCTTCACCTTGCTTTGCGAAAATTGAGAGGCTGGACCCTTTTTCTTCATAAAATCTGGCAGGGCAGTGCTTCTTCCCTCTTAAATGATCTGACTATATGTAATTAAACCCTAATAGAAATTCTGAGAATAAATTAGCCTTCAAAATACAAAAATCCAATCATAGTTCAATGACTCAGCAAAAACACAAAATCAAAGTTAAGAACAAACGCTTACGTGAGCTCGAGCGGCGGTACCGTTTATCGAAGTTAGATCTCACTATGCGATTGTTGCAAGTACCACCCCACTGGTTTGGTCAGACTGATTGATTTTGCTTAGGGTTTCAATTTCTAAGGACATAAGCGCTTTAGAGTTAGAGAGGACAGAGATTATTGGGGGATTGAAAATCTAATGCGCCTCTTAAAGGAGTATACTTTTCTTTCCTATAATAGAGAGGACATAGAGAGTTAAGTTTAATTTGAAGAGGGAAACTGTTCAGATTGTCAAGGCCATTGAAAAAGAGAAAAAAGTGGTTAAAATTGCTTTTTTCCCCACGGTGCTTTTATTTAAAATAATAATAAAAGGTAACTTCTTTTTCCGGTTGCATAAAAAAATAAAAGTTAATTTTGAATGTACCAAAAAATCGAAGTTAATTTTGAAGAAGAGGATAAGAAAGGCGGCATACAATTCCAGGAAAATATTGGGCCACCTGAGCTTCTTAAGGAGGTCGAGACTGAGAAAGTCAAGTTCAAATGCGTTACGGTTGGAATGCTTCCTTTGCTGCTTGTGTTATGTGCTTGGGACATGGCTCGTGTGATTGGGCAATTAGAAACAGGAAATTGGTATGTAGTCTTCTTCTTACGTCCCCCTATGGTTGCAGTTGGGATAAGAATTAGATGAAAAGGGTTGCTTCGAGGGAACTCAAAACCTCCAAGTTAGATAAGCTAATAGTAGGAATATTATCTGCCGTCCCATTAATGAAAAACCATTTGAATTTATACATAGATCAGACTCTAACTGTAAGCATAAAATAAAGAAACACTCTCTCACGACAACCGTCCCATTAATGAAAAACCATTTGAATTTATACATAGACCAGACTCTAACTGAAAGCATAAAATAAGGAAACACTCTCACGACAACTCTCCACTATGAGAGTGACTAACTAGACTCCTACAATTACTCAACTAAAGTTTAAAAGACATGCAACTCTATAAGTATTCAACAACTAAAGACACGTAGCCACTACTTTAAGCTATTCCACTAAGCACGTGACAGCTTGATATAGTAGGAACTGTCTTCTTATGTCTAGTTTGAGAATCTGGAAGTTATGGATGCTTTCTATCGCTAGGCTATGGAGATGAGAGCTTCTCAACTGGAGGAGGTCGAATTTTCTCTGTTTTTTGGATACTGAGCAGTACCATTTGCTTAGCATAATTCTTTCTCTACCTTGCTGAACGATATACACTGAAAGAAGGCAAAGATTACTTGTGAAGTGGGTTCTGACTCGGAGATTAACACCCTCGGATCTTGAGGAAGCAGATCTTGATCATGGTAAAGTCGTCAGGTATGAACATAATGCTCTATTATTTGAAATGAGATGTATCAGCCAAGAAGATATTTCACTGGTGATAAAAACCTTCAAGAAACTTGACAAGTTGACATTGATCATTCAGGAACTTTGACAGCATCTGATCTAGCACCATCTCATTCTCAACCAACATTTGAGTACACAACTTAACTTTTGCATCATTACCTTAGTGTAATTTATTAACAAATATATTTAGTAAGCATAACCCAACTGCCTTGCAAGTTGCAAGTTGCAAGTTTTATTTCGCATTCTATATACTTGTTATATATATATATATATATATATATATATGCACTGGTGTGTATGAAATATGAATACAGAGGGGATGGATTCACATTGCTCAATGGACAGGTGTGTCTGAATCTGCTTATCACAAGTTTAAACTTGGACACTAATTTGTGTATTCTGGCTGGCCAGCAACATAATACTTATTTGATTTCCTCATCACTCTGGTACTTATTTCGTAAAAGGTTTAAAGGACATAGACATATAGGGTTTAGATAATTGAAGCACATCACTTACTACTACAGGCATACAAATTCAATGGTTGAAGCCACTTTTCCCTTCAGCTGTTGCATAGCATGATCTCTTGCTTCCACTTCCTCTTTGACTTGTTTGACTTACCTATCCTTTTCACTAGGATACTCCCAACGCCGAACAGATTCAATAACTATTTTCACTAGGATATTCCAACTCCCAACACAGAGTCAATGCAAGTCTTCTAGTGCATAGAGTATAGGTACCTAATCTTACCTTATATGGCTAAAGTATCATAAACTTTTGTCACCAATCAAGATACTGTTTGTCATGCTCATGTCCAAATCTCCATACGCATAAAATGAAGAATCTTGAAATCAAGGATGCATTGGCTCCTCAGAAATAAAGGCAAATACTGATAATAATTAAAATGAGGATAAAACAGTTTCTGTATAAATTCAAGCAAGATATTCACATTTATCTGCTGTTCAAGAACTCAGTTCCAGTTCCAGCAACATCCGGGTTCTTGAACAGCAGATAATTGTAAATGTCCTGCTCTTTTATAGTAATAGGGAGTAACTACAAGTGATTCATACCGTTATATTTTCAAAAATGAGATTACTCCGGCAGGGTCCTCAGTTCATGCAGAAGGCTTCACAATTGTATATTGTATTACACTTTTCCGGAACTCAAATTGGTCTATTGAATTTAATACAATATACAATTGTATATTGTATTAAATTCATCTTCAATTAAACGGAACGAATTCAGAGCAAAATCCAATCCATTTACAGGTCTCGGAGATAGAGTTGAATAGGCAGAGTTTTGGGGAGTTGTTTTGAGGATTACTCACAAAAAGAAGTATCAATTGGATGAAAAGTAATTCACATGGATCGCCAGCACATCATTGCCCTTTATTTGGGGTCGACGAGACGAGACCAGGTGGGTGTACATTTTATATGGGCTTTGTTTGTTTATATGTGAATCCGAAATTACAAGACTGACCCAACAAATTTTATATGATCAAATTGCTTTGTTTGGCACACTTGATATTGTATTCACGATAAAGGACAAAAATAACAATTGTATTGGTTCTTGTCTAAATTCATAAAGAAAAAGGAACACAATTCCACATTTAATTAAAAGTTTAAATCCCTTATGAGAATATTAATCTACCAACTCCAAAGTCCAACCAATAAGGAACACAAGACACGACAAAGAGAACCCCTCAATCTCAATGCTTAGCTTGATCGCACTTGTTCATATCACTTTCAAAAGCTAAACATAGTCACTTCTCAGTTAGAAGGAAATCAATTGAAAAATGATTCACATAAGATAATATATATATATATATATATATAGTGATCATGAATCAATCCATTTAATTATGTGAGTAATTTTGTTGTATTAGGATTTGGTGTTGGTGGTGGTCCTCGTGGACTGGACAGATGGAGTTTTCCCTTTGTTGCCTGGCCAAACCCAAAAAAAGTGCTCCAAGCCTTATGGCTCAGTCTCAGTGTCAACAAGAAGCCTTGAGCAAATTTCTAATATTAAATTCCATCATACTTTTAAGCAAAGATATGATTTTTCTCTGTGTTTCTGTTTGTGTTTCTGTTTTCTGTATATGAATGGGAATTTGTTTGTTCTTTGAAGCCACTTTAGTTGGTCCCTTTCACTTTCATTAACAACGCTTTTAACTTGTTCATTTGATTTGAGTGAGTCTCTCTCTCTCCCTAAGCCTTAGCCTAAGCCAAAGCCTAAGCTATGTTTTTACCAAAAAAAAAAAAGCCTAAGCTATGTGACGTCTATCTGTCTAATGATACGGAAAAGTGGCAAGGTTTAAGCAAGTTTTTGCGCTTAAGCAATTTAATTACTCAAAAACAAGAGCTTTCCTTTCCAAATTCCTTTCATCAATAATAATATGTATCCAGAATCCAGATCATGACTACCCTAGCTAATAATAATATTCCTTACTTATTATCATTTGCAAAGGAGAAATTATTTATATTCTTTCTTCCACTGTCGACACAACAACTTTGTTTACCTATTTTATGTTTTCTTTTCTTTTTGGTCTGCATATCAGAACCAATCCAATGGAAACTGCCATCTGTCACCAAGTTTATGCTTTATGACAACAACAACAAAAAAATCCCAGTTAATCTGATAGATAGATGGATAGAATACTCCCTCTGCTTTTCCTTCTCTATTTTAATTTAATTTAATTTAATTTAATTTAATTTATGTGGTTAATGACTTGGTGTTGGGCGTTGTTGATGTTTCAAAAGGATAAACAAGAGAAACGTTTGGCTCTTTTGTGGTAGATATATTATCTATCTAGAAACAATAATCCTTAAGCGGTCCAAAATGTAATTATAATCATAGATTAGGTACGTAGTAGGAAAAACAAATGGATTAAAAAAACGACTATCTGAATTTGCACTCACCATCAATCAGAAATCACAACAGTTGGAAAATGTGACTTTATAATTTTATTTTGACAACTTCTGCCTTGCCTGAGGAGATAATGTTGTTTTGACAACTTTGGAAATCAAATCAATCATAATGACGTTTGAAACAAAGAAATCCCTTAAATTTAGTTTTACAGCGAAATATAGATTATGCAGACAGTTTTAAAATCAAAGTAACCGTTACTGTCAAAATTAGGAGGGAAGAAGGGGAGTTGAAGAAGCCGGTTTGGCCGGCCTAAGATTTATGGTTTCTCAAAATTTGCTTCACACTCACACACTCACACACACAGAGCAAGGAAAGGGAAGTCCATCTCTCATCATCCATCCCACTCTTTACGGTCAATTCCTTAAAACTCACACACACTAATCCTTATTAAAACCCCACATTCCAATTCCCATTAAATCCCAATTAAGCTTTTCAAATTATAGCTCTTTCTCTATCTTTTAATCTCCAAAGTTCCAAAACATAAACAAACCAAAGGGAATGGTGTGTCATGAAGAACAACTTGGAGTTGGACGGATTAGGGGAGAGGACGTCTCCCTTGTCCATCCAGACCCTGTTGTGTTAGAGCTCAACCGTATGCACAACCTACTCACAGGTCCCTCTCTCTCTTTCTCACACACACATGCACCTCTTTCCGGATAGTGTTAATTTCGTTTCTGCATTTTTTACTGGTTTTCATGATGTTGAATGCTACAGAGTTGAGTTCAACATATAGGAGCATTTGGTTTTATTAGAAGTAATAGTATTTTCCTTATCTCAGTAATAATAATAATAGTAAGGACATGGCTTGAGAGTTTTCTACTTGTTCTTTGTTTTTTTATGTACATTCAGTGGTTTATTTTATTTGAGGGTTTTGTTCAATAAATCATGGTGACTATGGATAAAAAGAAAAGATACATGGATTATTTGTCCTCAAATGTTAATAGATTTGAAGATTTTAT